AAAAAAAAGAAGAAGCATGAAGTGAAAATGTCGCAACGAAAAGCATCATGATGAAAATAACGAAAAGAATAAAAAGACGTATCCCATGAATAGATCACTCAGTGCTGCATTGACAATAGCTTATTAACCAAAGAATTGTACAAACCAAAATGGAGAGAACATATATTTATTATTTATTTCATTATAATTAGAAATAAGATACATTTCAAACACAAATCAACCAGACAGTTATGACATATTTTACACGACAAGGCGTTGGCTAGTTTGTATAAGGGGCAATCCATTAGAATTTTGAAGGGAGAGGTGGGTTGGAAGATTTTGTAAGAGCAATAATTTTGGACTTAGCGCGCGCTACAAAATCTTTAGTGGAGATTTTTCAAAATTTTGCCGTGCGGGAACTTTTTTAGAAATCTTCCAGCGCCAGCCCCCCGTCCCCTGAATTCTTCTATTTTGTGCGGAATTGCTTTTTCTCTTATCGCGATCGACACACTCATAATTCATCATAAAACGTTCATTGAACTACAAACGTTTTGAAATTTCAGTTCGTCAAAAGTATGTTAATAACAGGGGAACGCGAAGAACRAATCCACCGGAGAAATCCTTACTCCGCACTTAAAATCCATGAAAAATCTAAGAAGTTTATAACTTTTTCCAGGCTTCATACAACGACACCTTTTTCTCAAAAACTGATAATTATCTAATTAAAGCTTTTCAAATGACGGCAAAGCGTTAAGTCTCCTAAAATTGTCAAGTATAATTTGGTCGGTTTAACTTTTGGAGTTGCACTTAGTCCATTCACTGACACATCCTTACCCGCAATGTTGGGATCCCTGTGTCGCAGATGCCGGGAAGCTGGTGAAGGGCCCTTCATGGCCCATACTCAAGAATTAAATATGCGTGGGCTTTACAGTTTCCACTAAAATATGAAACTTCACAAAATGTTATATGGAGGAAAAGTAATAGTGGGATCCTATTGTGTTTGTGACATAAATTATGTRAAATAATACTATATTATAACTATATTATAACTTATTTATAAATTTTATGATAAAATTCAATTCGTTGAAAAACTATGGCGGAAAAAGCAATGGAGAATGATTTTCTTTTGCTATTKCTCAGCCACTACAAAAAATATATACTGCTAATTGACTTGAAACTGTCACCATAGTAACAGCTAATAAGGAAATTCCATGGTAAACACCGCTGTCTTTYTTATGAGCTTGCTTGGCGATCAAACCCGGAGTTTCTTTAGGAGATGGAGAAACTGGTGACGGTCTCTCTGTGGAAYGGATAGTCGGTGATGGACTGGTGTAGAGCGTCTTCTTTGGAAGAGCTAAATTAAAACAGATTTATTAGGAATTCATTATTGTCTTTCYCTAATGGCGTCACGGGGAGGTTAGCCCATTGCATAAGTGGGAAGGGTGTTTGACGAACATTTCATAGTCAAACATTAAATAAGATCATCATTATCAATTTCTATTGATAATTGATAAACTGCAAACAGGATATTACCTTTTCCACATCGCTTTCCATTATACCCAGTCCCCTGGCAATCACACAAGGGTTTTAAAATCCGGTCAACACATTTCCCGCCATTTCTACATTTAAACTTTTCACATGGGTTGGAACAGTGTGGAGAAGTGTACTTGGTCTTACGCAACCTTGGGACGGTCTCTCGTCCATCTATTATGTACTTGATCTCTGAAATGCAGCCCTGAAAACTAAAAAAGTAAAATACATAAATATAATACACGACACATCAATTTTTTCAATGTCATTCTAAGTTTAAACTCACTGTTATACTCTTTCAAATTATATTTCGAAACTTTATTATCGMCAACTTATTCGGGTTCCGAAAGGCAGCAAGGGAAAGCAAATTATGAGTATAACAGTGTCTCACGGCGTCCAAAGGATTACCTGCACTGAATGAAATGACATTCTCTTYGAGTTATGCTATAATTATACATTTCTTTAAAATTCTAAGTACTTTTTGAATCTCTTTCATTTTTAGCTTTTTGCGACTAGACAAYATTTTAACTATAAGGTGTTGAGAGGAATATTCTGCCCGCAGAACAGTGTGTTCGGGGGCTTAATCACGCACTTTTGAGTCGCTACTTCTCAGATTTATTGTCATTGCACAAAGAAAGTCTGCAGTCCGAGGGAGGTTTGTTCAGTCATTCCCACGTTTATCAATCAAGAATATAATAAAACACGCGCTCTTTGCCGTGGGGTGTTGCCGACGTGCCATTTGGTCGTGCGTTGCGTGCGTTGCGTGCTCCGAAAGTTCTAGGACAAGATGAGAAATTAGAATACAAAAGAAGTTTGGATTTGAGAGGCATATTTGTACTGTGAAACAGCGTGACAGAATGCATCAAATTGGTCTTGCTACTTGCTAACTCGAAAACACAATAGTTAATTTAGACACGAAGCAGTCATATTCTAATCCTCACTTTAGAACTAAAAAATATGTCCGGCATACTGTAACTTGTCAACATAAAGAAACAGTAAAGGAATACAAAATATATATGTATTGTTTAAAGATTGGTATCTTTTCTCAGTGTGCTATATTGTATCGTTATTTTGCCGTTACTCGGGCAATTCAGTTCATTTAATGTTGTGCTTTCCCGACTACGTTTCGTTGCTATTCTGGTCAACTTCATCAGGTCGTTTTTCCGTTAATTTTCATACAGACGGAGATTTTTGGAAATCTGTATGTAGACCAACCCAGGTCAATAGARTGTGTACACGAGTACACAAATGGGGGCTAGGAGAAAGATCTRTGACAAGCTAAGCACATTATATTTTTAAAGGGACATGGTMCACTAGCATGCAATGCGGTCGTGTTTTAGATTTTTCATATTTGAAAAATGAGGTGACTTCGAATATCCATTTGCAATCCGTTTCCATCCATCGGTTTAACGGTCGAATCTTAAAGCATCTCCATTCATATAGGATAAAGGAATAATAAAGAGTAAGTTTTTTGCTTATATTACGATGTATTTCTATTTTCAAGCRTAAACAAAAGCTCGA